AATATTAGACTATGTTAAACTTAAAGGCCTCAATTTTCACTAAATTGATTCATCAACATTCAATACTTTTTAAATCTCTGCAGACACCCTGGATGTAATATCTTGCAAACCTTTCACAACTCACCAGCACATGTGCAGTAGATACAGATATCACTTAGCACGGGATCATTTCTAGTAGCATATGCTATAGGCTAAAGACTGTAGCACTGTACAGCCCTGCTGTTATATTTGGCGACATTTATGAGGCCAACAATCAGACATCAGAAAAAACACCATTGTCACATCACAAGTGTACAGTTGTAAAACCTCATGTTACATGTTACATGAGTGAGAGGGGACAGGGTACAGACCCAAAGAACAGTCAGGTGGGTAAAGAGTGGCCAGCTTCATTTTTGGGCAATTTCATTAGTCACAGGTGCGTTCAGATTTTGGTGCAGTAACTCAGCCAAACCAGCAGATGGGTTGCTTTCGTAGGCACTCCATCTGCTGGCAGAGCAGAGTTACTGCACATGTGCAGTACCTCTGCTCTGCCAGCGGATGGAGTGTTTTCCCACCAATCTTTTAGTATGTCCGAATGGACCCAACTTGTTTAGTAGGTAGGAGTAGTATCTAGTGGTAGTAGGCTACGTAGTAGTAGTATGCAGTATGCCACTGGGCCTTTCGGACGCAGCCCACATCTAGCCAAGTTCAGTCCAAATTCCCGGATGTGTTCTCGCCACACCGCTATCATCTAGCGGTGTCAGCGCTCATAGATAATAAACGTGTGTATGAGCGCTCAGGCTGCCCCAGAGAGCAGCCTCTCTCGGGTAGTCCTTTTGAAATTCGTGACTGATATCTCTGTAGTGGTTAAATATGAAATGTAGGCTAATTCGTTTGGGGTATGTCTAATGGGCAACATTCAGTCTCACTATAAGATATATTCTTATATTATTAAATGTTGTAACATGTTATTGTTCTTTGCATTCTTTTGCTTATTTAGGCCTATGTGTTTTTACCATTCAATAATGATTTTAAGAATTTATTGTAGCTAATTTATTTATTATATTTAAAGATTAATTGTCTTTATTGTAGTATTTATTCAACAGCATTTTAAATATTGATTATCTGATATGAATTGTATACCTGATGTCTGAAGTGTGGCTGAATAAACTTTTCCTCTTAACATCTGACCTGTTTGATCCATTTATATTGGTGAGGACAGACTAAATGAGAAACAGCTGTCAGTATAATCCAGTACAGTTCAACAGCACCACAATCTACAACTCAACACTTCAATAAAATGTTAGACTTAATACAATATTAAACTGCTTTTATTTTTTCTAGGTGTACCAAGTAAACTGTCAAGTCTCCATAAAAATGTAGACAGAAAGTATAATGATGAGACAAATGCAGCGATGGACAGTAACTAAGTATATTTACTCAAGTAGCTACTGTACTTAAGTACAAATTTGATTTACTTTGGGTATTTCCATTTACTTAGAGGGAAATACTGTACATTCTACTCAACTACATTTATTTGATAGCTATAGATAGGCCTACTTTTCAGATAGTTTGTTTTATATGTTGTAAGTTTCATATTTACAAGTTGCTGTGTGTTGTTATAGATTAGACTAGTACACCAGTGACAGGTTTTAAAATTAGTTCTACCATGACAACATTTAAATGCTGCTTACATGTAGCCGACGTTGATCAGTTAATATTCAATACATATACGTACTTTGAACTTTTCATTTTAAGTAGGCCTATATTTTGCGGACAAGACCCAGATACCTTTACTCATGTCAGATTTGGTATGCAACACTTTTACTTGTGACTGAGTCTGTTCTTTGTTGTGATATTCCTGGGTACTTTGTCCACAACTGGACAAACATATCGAACAGACATGCAAGCATCGCACGTCTCATCCTCATCCTCATCCTCATCCTCCGCTGTCTTTCTGGGATCTGCCTCCTCAGCTGGGCAGCCTCCTCCCCAGCCTGCAGGTACAGCAATCCTGCTCCAATAACTGCGCCAAGACGCCTTTTCCGATCCATGTTCGTTATTGATTTTTGATTTCCATCTCGACAATGCTCACGATCACAATAACCACCAACTCTCCACAAACTTTTCCCCCCGCACTTGACTTTTGATTATAATCAGAAGCCAGCTGCGGGGAAAAGGTTTTAAAAGACATTTTATGAAAACATTTTGGCTATAGCCTATGTTTTTGTGTCAGTTAGCCTATATATGTTGAAACGTTAAAAACATATAGGTCTACATATTAATTTCTTACTGTGGCAGTATAGAGACCTGTGGGTTGCCATGCCTAATTGGCAATGGCACAGCCAACCACCGGAGGCGCACCCACCTATAAAATGGGCGATCCCTCCCTGCCAGTTCTCTCTCTCGCTGCTTCCGACGGGTGACGTCATTTCCGAGCCGGACGTTTTGCTTCGGACAGGTAACGCGGCTTGTCTGCTCACCTGCTGCTTTCGGCTCATGTGGCAGGGAACTAATGATTTTGTGTTGTGTTGCAGAGTGGCTGACTTGGTGCTTCCCAGGCTCGTGTGCGTGTCACCTAAATGGCCTGCTGTGGTGAGTGTCTCCCTTTCTGCCTGTTAAACAGCTGATAATGACCGCGGCTAACAATAGCCTGATTGTAGGTGGACGCCGGTAGCTGCGCGTTACCCTCTCCCTCTTCCTCTGGTCTGTGTGTCATACTGGTCGACCTGCTAACTGGTATGTAGCTTCCTGCATTCCCAATTGTTGTATGCACATGCGAAATTTATAGATAATAAATTTATCGGGTCCTCAGATCCCTCTGCTAATGGTGCGTGAGCGACGTCTGCCAATGGTGCGTGAGTGACGTCAGCACCAGCTGACCGGGTTTGCGGCCAGGGTTTAAAGCGACACATCACCACCAGCTACGGGGGACCGCTGCTGCTTTTTCTGTTTTTGCTTTCTGCTTTTCGCTGCTGCTTTTCATTTTGTCGCTTTTTCTTTGTTTTTCTTTTTGTTGCTTTTTGCTGCTTCTTTTGCGGCTGCTTTTGGATCGCTGCTTTTCACCGCGGCTGCTTAGCTTTTTGTTTAATTTCCTTTTTTTTGCTTTACTTTTTGTCCTGTTTTGCTTTAACCTGTTTGTCTACTCGTTTTGGTTGACCTGCCTGCGTTGTACGCCTTGGTATTACGTTTTACCGACCATTTAATTAACTCAATTTTAACGAAGTTCGACTGAGGAGTGGGGTTAAACCCTTTTGTGGTGGATTGGTTTTGTTTTCTTGGTTACTGTATTCAGTTCCCTCTGCCTGTCTGATTTCCCTAATTGCTTTGGCTTTAATATTCTGTTTGGGCAGAGGATTAATTCTTTTTTTCAGTATTTGTCTTTTCTTTATTTGGCGGTTGGCAGTTTGTATTTTTTAGTTTATGATTTATATTGCCTGCCAATGGCCTGTTTTGTTTAGGATATTTCTGTTTATTGAATTGTGTTGGTGTGACCCCACTAATTTCCCCTTTGTTTCCATTTTAGTTGCTGAGGTCCGGTGGTGGTGACCTGGTGGCGGGGTTCCCCCCCCTTTTCGTGTGCTGTGCTCCCCTGGGTTCTGGGTCTCCTCACTGTGCGTGTGTGACTGTCACGAGTGTCTGGGTGCTTATATTTTTGGTTGGGGTGTCTCCACACTATCAATAGCCTCTTCACCCCGGTAAGCCTCGGCCCTAGTTTAGTCCCCCATTTATTTGCCCCTGTCTGACTGGTGTTTTATTGTGTTAAATTGTCTTTTTGTAATAAAGCATATGCCTTTTTAAAAACAAGGAATCGTGTCATATCNCCCCCCCCCCCCCCCCCCCCCCTGTATCGCCACATTACAATGTCTATGCAAAGCATAGGGCTGGGCTGTGTTTATAGGCCTTTTGTTTTATTCTAAATGCATACAACACAGTACAACAGCCAAGGCGAGCGGAGGTGGTGACATCAAGTTTGCTACTGTTCCAAAAGCATAAATGACTGTACTGCAGCGCCTGGCAAGATGGCGGCTTGAGCAACCACGCACGAGGACGCTGTGCACCAACCTTTATCCAGTTGCTTGAAAAGGAATTTCTTTGACTTATTTGTTTAATGACTAGGACCCGGGGTGCTTATACAGCGAGCTTTGCCGCTAGAGTTGGTGGAAAGAGAGACATTGCTTTGCGTAAAGTTCTCGAGGCTGCGGGGCACGACTACACATTTGGAGCCGGCTGCAAGGAGGAGCTCGAGGCTTTCGAGGAGGAATTCCCACCGCTGCCGGTAACACCATCTAAATCTCCAATGAAGAAAAAGGCCAGCGAGGCTGTGGAGAGCACCTCGCTTAGCATGGACATGCTCAAACAGTTTGAAGAGGTAAAGAATCTGATTAACTTCAGATGCGACTCTATCGACTGTAAAATTATAGCCTACACCTGGAGGAAAAGTTGGAGCGCACCACTGTTGAGCTGAAGGCTGTGAGCGCGAAGGTGGCCCACGTTGAGCAGAGGGTCGCCCAGGTGGAGCAACCTGTCAAGCAGATCACCAAAAGGATGGATGAGCTGGAGACATACACGCGCCGATGGAACCTCAGGCTCGTTGGAGTTCCCGAGTCTGACTAGGAGGACGTCCGCAGTCGCGCCATCACCATCTGCCAGGAGGTGCTGCCTGACAAGAGGGACACGCTGGCAGAGCATGTGGACACCGTCCATCGCCTGGGCAGGAGGAGGCAACCTGCGGAGGATACCAACCCCAGAAGGATCATCATCCAGTTCATGTCGGGTCAGTAGAGACGCCGTGTGGAGAGCTGCAAAAACCTCTTCGTACCTCAGGGAGCACGGCTTCCAATTCAAAGAGGGCTTGTCGAAGGGGGACCGAGAGCGGAGAGAGAGGCTTTGGCCCGCGGTGGAGAGGGCGCGCGCCGATGGGAAAAAGGCCTTCTTTGCCGGGGCTCGAGCCATCATAGAGGGAGAAGGTGAGATTAAACTCCCTGAGTGACTATAACTATGCTAGGAAACACAGGCCCACTCTGACTGCTTTTATTGATCTATTTTGTTAAATGAAGAACTAATAATGGGCCAAATATGACTTGTGCGCTCAACCTTGACCTGTTTTTTGAGTTGATTTCTGTCATCGTCTGAGTCGCCTATTTCCTTTTGAAACAATCTGATAAGTAGTGTAAAGCAATGGTGCTGCAGGCGTCGTCGACCTGCTGCTTATTAGTTTAATTTAACGACACTATTTAGGCAGAAGGTTAAATATTCTTTTTTCTTTCTTTTTCTTTTCAATTTATTTATGGCTTTTTCCATCGTTTCATTGAATGCCAGGGGCTTAAGAAATGGGCTGAAGCGTAAAGCTTTATTTTTATTTATTAAACAGCTAAAAGTTGATTTTGCTTTTCTGCAAGAATCACACTCCAACATTAAAGACACAAGCTTTTGGAAAGCACAGTGGGGCAGTGATATTTGGTTTTCACATGGGTCTGAAACTTTGCAATCGTTGTGTGACAAACAGGGTCACTATGTCTGTCTGGTTTGCAGAATAAGGGACATAGTTTTCATTTTGATTAATATTTATGGCTATAATTGCAGGTCAGATAATGATGAGTTTTTGGACTCTTTGGACGCTAAACTTACCATTTTAACACAAAAATATTTTAATGCACACCTGATAATTGGAGGGGACTTTAATATTGTTCTGAACGAGTCTCTTGACAGATGGCCACCCTGTAAGCCCTCGCTTGCAAATTCTTCATTAAAAACGCTGATGAATAAATATGATCTTTATGATGTATGGAGGGAGAAATTCCCCAGGGACAGAGTTTACACTTGGAGTAACAAGGATGGCTCTAGACAATCAAGGCTCGACTATTGGCTTGTTTCTAACTCTCTAGATAAGGATTCCATCACAGCTGATCTTTTACCCACTCCGTTGACAGATCATAAGGCAGTTTTGCTTAATGTTAACCTGTCTCGAGACAATCTAAAAGTAAAACACTTCTCCTATTGGAAAATGAACTGCTCCTTGTTAAAACATAATTCTGTGAAAATTGAATTGCAGAGATTGATTAAGCGGCATTGGGATCAAGCTCAGAAGGACAAAGTTTATGGCAAAAACTGGGAATTGTTGAAATATGAAATAGGTAAATATATGAGGAAATATGGTAGCGACTTAGCTAAATCTAGAAGAAAAGAAGTAGGAAATATCACCTCTGAGATAACATCCCTAACCAGCGTTCCTCCAGATTCACTCTCTGCTAAAGATAGACTCAGATTGATTGAACTCCAAACGAAACTTGATGACTTGTATAAATGTAAGGTAGAGGGGGCTTTTGTTAGATCGAGGCAGAAGTGGCTGGAGGAAGGAGAGCAGATGACTTCATACTTTTTTAAAATGGAGAAATCGCGAGCCAAGCACAACTCCTTATCTGAGTTAAATATCAGTGGGTCCGTTATCAATGATAAGGAAAAGATCATTGATTTGATCATTTGATCATAATGCTATGTTGTTGTTCTTTAGTTATATAAATATACACTGTATTAGAACCATTACTCACGCTCAGAAGCTGATGTGTGATTCCCTAATCAGCCAGCAGGAGGTGCAAGACGCTATCTTAAACCTTAAAAACAATCGATCACCTGTGAATGACGGCGTCAGCTCTGAATTTTATAAAGAGTTTTCTGATCTGTTGGCACCATTTCTTTTTAAGGTTTTTTTCTCAGAGCGTTGCAAGAGCACAACTTCCTGCTACTATGACACAGGGGTTAATTAATTTAATACCCAAACCCAGAAAAGACGTGCTTCTTATTGACAACTGGAGACCCATAACTCTATTAAATAATGATTATAAGATATTTGCTTTAATTTTTGCAAAGCGATTTAAAGGAGTTCTGGACTCAATAATCGATGAAAATCAATCAGGATTCATGAGTAAAAGGCACATTGTTAATAACCTAAGACTTTGGATTTGATTGATTACTCAGATTTGATTGAAGATGATAGTTTTATCCTTTTCCTGGATTTTTACAAGGCTTTTGATACTGTTGAGCATCCGTTTATTTTCTATTGCCTTGAAAAATTTGGGTTTGGGGAATATTTTTGCAATGCAATGAAAACTCTTTATACAAATGGTAACAGCTCTGTAAAACTGACTGGTGGTACTACACAGAGGTTTTATCAGGAGAGAGGAATACGACAGGGGTGCCCTGTCTCTGTTTATTTGTTTTTAGTGGTGGCTCAAATGTTTTGTGTATATATAAAATCATGTAATTTGGAGGGCATCTCTATTGCTGGTAGGAAAATTTGCCTGAGTCAACTAGCAGATGATACTGCACTTTTTCTTAAAGACGCTTTACAAGTAAAGCCGGCTATTTGTTCAATCTTGGTTTTTTCTAAAGCATCAGGTTTATGCTTAAATTTAGGTAAGTGTGAATTATTTGCATTAAAAAACAATGATATAACCTCAATCGATGATATTTGTGTTAAAAGTAGGGTAAATTATTTAGGTATTACCATAACAAAAGAGCAGCAGGAGAGATGCTCTCTGAACCTTGAGCCCAGAATGAAAAAGGCTGAGAGCAGGTTTAATCAATGGCTGCAGAGAGATCTGTCTTTGAGGGGCCGTGTGCTCCTATCCAAGGCTGAGGGAATTTCACGGCCTCTTCTCTGGCTCTGGACAGTAAAACAATCAAAAAAATTGATCAAATGTTGTTTAACTTCTTGTGGAAGAATACATTACATCCGAAAATCTGTCGTAATCAATACCAGAAAGAATGGAGGGCTTGATTTTTTGGACTTTGGATCATTACACCATGTATTTAAGATTAATTGGTTAAAAAGTTTTTTTAAAAAATGATTCATCTTTATGGAACTTTATCCCCAAATTTGTATTTAACCAAATTGGCGGACTTCCCTATTTGTTAGTGTGCAATTACCAGATTAATAAAATACCTCTAAAATTGTCAGAGTTCCATAAACAGGTCTTACTTGCATGGAAAATAATCTACAAACACAATTTCTCCCCTCAGAAGTATTATCTATGGAACAACGGAGACATTTTACACAACAAAAAGAGCCTCTTCCTTAGAAACTGGTTTGAAAGAGATATTCATACAGTCGCTCAGTTGCTGAGTCCAGATGGCCTATTAATGTCCTATGTGGAGTTTATACAAAAGTTTGGTTTTCCAGTTACAGTAAAAGAATTTTACCAGGTAATTGATTCCATTCCTACAGGTGTTGTAAACTTGTACAGAGGCTCCTTTCAGCCGTGTACTGTCTCCGTTGTAAATCCGCTTAACACTGTCTGTGGCAAAGTCTGTTTTGGATCACACAAAAGCAACAATAGAGCTATTCGGGAACGTTTTATGAATGAAATCTCAACGAAACCTTATATCACCACCTACTGGGCTAAATTTAACATCAATATACCTTGGACCAAGGTTTGGTTGTTACCACACAAATATATGATCACTAACAAAGTCAAAGAAGTGTCTTATAAAATATTACATAAAATTTACCCAGTAAAGCATTTCATGCAGAAATTTAAGAATGATATTGATGTCAATTGTTCCTTTTGCTCGGTACAACCCGAAACAGTTAACCACATATTCTGGCATTGTAACTACACAAAAAGGTTATGGAAAAATATAGCAAAATGTATCTCTGATAAGTTGTATATGAACTTTAATCTGCATTTTGAACACGTTATCTTTGGCTTTCATTCTGATACTACAGAAGATTTGGATAAGGCTTTTGTTATTAACCTGGTACTACTTTATGCAAAGTTCCACATCCACAGAGCTAAATTTGCTGG